CGCTGCGTTTCTGGGCCAAGCGTAAAGCTTAACGCTGCCGGTGTCTAGCGGGGGCCACCGGCTGCCTGCATCGCCAACCGGAACGATTTGTAATCTAGCAAACCGTACCCAAAGATTGAGAGAGCCCAACGGGTCCTATACACCGTTGTATAAATTAGATTTGGCCGCGTCCCTCGCCAACGCCGGCCACAAATTTCACCCCGTGCACTTGTCCGTCCTAATAACGCTTTTCTCGAATTAAAGCGAGCCCTCGCATCGCTCTTGCTCCCCGTCCTCGTTTGTTTAACGATTCTTCCACGTTTTTCGAATACTATGTTACGGTGGTATAAATTCTTCCATCACCAGAGCAGAGGACAGGAAATAGAAAACTTTGTAAAAAATTTCTATTTGACGTTGATTCTAACTTAGACTTTTAAAGAATCACAGAGGCTATCAAGCAGGCAATTTCAATACGACGTCTTGTTATAAATTACGGTGTTTCGACTGCAGCAAACTGCAGAGCAAACACGTTATCAAGATACACCTCGCCTCTCGTTGGCAAGTACTCGAGAACGATAATGCGCTAATAACTAAGAGTGGCGCTTCGGCGTAATGAAAATCGCTGGCGCGAGCCTGGAACTTGTCATGCGTTTGATCTTTATCAGACAGAGAGGAGGCGGATGCGATATTAAATTTGCTACGATTATTAAGCAACTGGGAAAGAAGTAATCTGCATTAATGAAGCAATTTTTCTCGATAACCTGACAATTTCATTTTACAGTGCAGCAGCAGACCCCCAGCGCGCCAGGCGTAATTGATTTCGCTGGAAATTTTACGTGAAACAAGTAGAACGTTCGATGGTAATTTATTTTCAAGGAAGCTTGCCAAGAAAATGACAGAGAAATGGTAAATATTGGGCGGAATTAAAGACGGTGAGATATTTCTCGGTTCGTTAAATGTGAATCTCGCATCAGCGGATATGATCGTTCAGGTCCTCGTTATTTAAATGACGTTATGATTGCTTGCCAGCGTCATTTATGGAGGCATATTATTCGTCGAACGATGCGCTGCGCGTTCGTTTTTTGGTAATGGATATTCAGATGGAGCCGGAGGAATCGAACGCGTCGAAATATAGGGTGGACGCGCACGCTGCGCGCTGGGCAAAACATTCGTTTCCAGTCCTTTCGTTAACATTAATACAGGTAATTGAATCGTGCTGCAATTACATCTCAGTGTTTTTCATTCGCCACGTTTTCTGTATTAATTATTTCCGGATAATGAGTTTCATAATTACTAAGCGTACAGGTAAAATCGTTCGCGGCACTTGTTATTCCGGGCTTGGAAATTAAGTCGTAGCAACTTTTTTTTAATTTCAAATAACTCTTTAAAGTGGATAAAAATTCATTACGCGTGGAACAAAAGAACGGCGCACAATTAAAGTTCGGCAGGTGGGTTGTGAGAAATAAACACGTCGATCGATATATAGTTGAGCCTGTTAATCGAAATTTCATTTGAAGGAAGGATACACGCCGTTGCAGCTCATTAGCTCTTCTGCATTAAAATAACGTAAACATGGAAATGTTGCACAATGGTAAACGTCGAATTAATTTGCAGCCCCGTTGCAACGTAATAAAAGCAACAAGAAGGTAATATTTCAAAGCCGGTGAAAAAAATTTGAGATCTCATTCGAGCATTTATTACCATTCCACGCAACAACGCACCGCTACACTACGTGTAAATAAAAGCACATACTAAAAGCAAATATTTAATTATTTCATTTGTTTGCCGAGTTAAATCCTTTTTTCCACCGTTCTTTCACCATTTAATATGTCTTCAATTAAATAAAAATTCAATTTCGCTAGATAAATCCGCCGGATAATGACCCTTCATTAGCGAGATGAACTCGGCCGAAAGTTTATAACGAAGATTCATCGCAATTTCGCGATCGTTTCACAATGTCTGCACGTCCTTCTGTTTCTTAATCTTCATAAAAATCCCAATCGCCAGCGAATCGACGCGGCGTTCGGGACGAAATCCCGTGAAAATCGCAAATTCAGAAAGTCAGGGGAATAAGTTTGCGAGAACGATAATCGCGAGTGTCGGGTTAAATTCTTTTCAATGGCGGAAGGTATCGATCGAGAGCGTTTATTCTTTAAGGGGGAAAAGCTTAAAGAGAGTTCAGCGTTCCAAGTTGATATCGGTTTGTTATTGAACAAACACGTTCGCGCGCGGGCACCTCTTAAATATCGTTCTCACACTCGTATAATGAGCTGCAATTAAATTCACGAAACTACGCGGGTGCTCGAGTGAAACAAGAGGACACGGGGAACTAAACGCATAAAAAGTTGTTAATTTGCTCTTAGGCACCGGCTATTTTACTCGATTATGCCACTTGAGCTTCTATAAAGTTGTCCCCGCGGTATCGAACCCACACACCTCTTCGCCTTCGTCGGTTACTCGGGACCAAGACGCGCGCTTCAGCCCCCTGCCGACGCGTAGCCGCCAACTTTATATTGGCTTAATTGGTTTCAGAAGTGAAACTTTAGCTGCACTTTTTCCTTCGAACTTTTCCTTTTCGCATTGCCGGTGCTGCAAACTGTTAACTATCGATACGTGAATTGATCGTTGCGTCAACGTTGCTCCATCCATTTTATAACTGGCGACAAAATTGTTCTTAAAAAGAAAGTTTTATTGTCGTTTGATTAATTTCTACGATACTTTCAGTTTTCCGTTTTGTATAATTCATTGAGACTTTAATGCAGACGTCGTTGGGCATTCCGAGAGTAGATTGATCCTTAGAAATTAATGTTTGACGGTGTGCATTTGCCTCACGTTCCTCTGGGAATTAATTAATCGCATTACACACTCGTTGGAAAACCCGCAGAATTTACGTGTAACTGGCAATTTTGCGATGGCAATTAAGCGAAGTGCTTGTTATCACGTGGCGATACATAGATACGTTACTCGATAGCAAATGGAACACATATTTTTACGCATTTAGACAAAATGTACAAACGGATCGTATATAATGTACGAAGATGTGTCGAATAATTTTTAATAGATAGAAGACGAGTTTCCATTTAATCGTATACACAAAAAAAAGAATAAACTTGCGCAAAAGATCGCAATCTTTATTGTTAATGAACAAGCTGTCTCGAAGAAAAAATGAATTGTCCGTAAGTTCAAAATAAAATGATTCGATGCTTTACAATGGGCACTATTTCACATGTATAAATTTAGCTAATTAAAGAAACGCTGAAATCAATTAATGTAGCATCGATTTATCTCTATACGGCGTTTATCATACGAATATTTCATGTCATTAATGTATTCGATTATGCCGCGAATAATATAATATTATATGCAAAATGATCCTGTAAGTACTAAATTCAGGTAAACAAGCTGAATCACTTTACCATCAATGGATGCCAATGGCACGCTAATATGTCAAAATGACGATAGTCGCCCGCTTTGAGGCAGCGAACTCTCAAACACAATATCGCTTTAACACAGCGAAGCAAAACATTTTCTGTATTTACGATCCACGCAAAGAAATAATTAGGACGTGTTTGAAATGAATCGTCGCGCGCGTATGTTTTCAAAGAAATATCATATAACACAATGAAAACAATGCGTGTATCTTTACGATAAATGTATTATGTGTGCAATTTAGTTTATTAAGTTTTATACTGCAATTTAAATCATGAGTACGCGCAATAAATATATACAGATGTACGTGCACGCAATTGCGCTAATAAAGGAAAATGAATCAATGTTAGTTCTCTGAAATTTTTCTCTATAAAAAGAGAGGGGAAAAAGAACTAATAAACATTCTCACAGTCAGGAGCTCTCTTTGTTTCGTGCTGCGATAATAATTTGCGAGATAGCAGCCAGATTTATGGAAAACGTGAGCAATTTCTTTTTTTTTTCTCTTTTCCTCACAAATTTATACGTTTACATCGAATGGTTTCGCCGTTGTGAAACTTTCAACTGTTGCACGCTCCACATTATCAAAGAGAAATATAGATGCGCGTTTTTGGAAATTTATTCACACACGTGTGCAGTGCCATTAATGAACGTTAACGTAATATGTCGCGATAACGAAGAAGAGGAAGAAAGAGGAAAGGGAATTTTATAGAGATTGAAATAACACACATGAAAAAAAAAGGAAATTTTTACGCCCAATTCTGTTTATCGAGGATTTTTATCACTCACGGTGAACACAAAGGCTTCGACTTACTCGTAAAAAACAAAGAATTTATTTATCGTCAGCTTCGTATCGTTTGCAGGTCAACTTATGAAATACTAACTATTTTTAAACGATTCTAATAAAATTCCTATCTTGATGCCTATTTTTTTATACGCGATGTTCTTCTTTTCATTTCGTTTTTTTTATTTACCTGTTGTTTACAAAAATTAACAAAATTATAATATCATAAACTGCGATTACTTGTTTCTCCTTTTTTTTTAAAAAAAAGAAGGAGAGGCAAACGCGTGGGTTCAATTATAACTCGTGTTTGCGAGGAAATCTTCTCGATGATAAATCATGAGGAAACCGGCAAAGATCAGAAAGAGAATTTCTAATATTTCATCGGTGAAATATAGGGCAACGTGAATTTGCATCGTTACCTGCTGCTGTCATTCTTTTCCCACGTTTTCCTGCGGCAGCCGACGTAATGCGGAAATACACGTTTTACGTTCTACGCGTACGTCACGCGTTTTTCATGGATATTTTCGTACGTGTGTCTGATACTTCGCAAATAATTTTATCGGCAACGACAGATAAACTCTGATAGAATCACCGGTTTAATGTCTGCTTTGGCCGTGTTTTCAAGATAAGAGAATATCACGGCTGATAAAGTGCACAGAAGCCTACAAAAACAGAGAGAGAAAGAGAGAAAGAGAGAAATAAACAGAAAAAAAGGAAACAATGTGTCACACGACATGCGTTCATTTTACTTTGTCACGCGTAACTTTTTTTTATTATGTTGCAAATGCCAGCGGATTCGGACGAAAATCTTCTAGTTCACGCCGAACTTGCCTACTCGATGTATCGCAATCCTCATAATAGAAAATATAACTTCATCGTACAGAATATTAAATGTCCCTGGGCGGAAATCGCACGATGGAAAGTGGCGCGGATGCAGATCGCAGTTGAAATTACTATTCCAATTGCATCTTTCCACCGGTAACGCCCCGGTTAGGAGGAACAGGAAGAAGGGTTAAGGCAGCTGGAAAGCTTAATTTGTTGGAGATAGTAAAATCCGCGGGTTTAATACATATTTATAAAGCGCATTAATGTTACCTAAAGAGAAGAATATTCATGAAAATCTTTCCGGGCGTTCTACCTCGGGCGTCCCGCGTTTCCACATCCGGCTCCCATTTTCAAGAAAACAGAAGTAATACACCGGAGAGAACCAAGGCCAGATGTTAGGAACGCGTACCGATGCAACTTATAATCTTTCTTATTCCGCGTTGCGATTTGCTTTTGCTGGCGGCGGGCACGTTGGAAAGTCGCTGCGACATCCTCCCCTTTGAAACATTGTAAGCTGTTAGACGACGGCTGGATAACGAACGAAATGAAACGTTATTATGGAAGAAAATTCGGAGGATGTTTAAAGAGGGAATATAGAATTCTTAGGCGGTTAATGTTTGTTCGTTCTGCGTTCACAGACGTTCGCAGTGGAAGAATATGTAATTAAAGTTTAGTAGCTTCTTCAAAGGGGCGTTATCTACTCGATTTTATTTTCCTCTCTGCAAAAGTCCTAAGAAATACGAAGAAAATTGTAAACTACTGTCTCATTATTACTTTAACGAATTATTTCAGTCGCGTACTTTGCACGTATCTTTCATAACAGGAGCATCGTGAAACTCAAACGGATAAATAAAGGTAAATGCTTTCGAAAAAGATCGAGCGAAATTTGCTAAATTTGTGTTACATGATGGTAAAACGAAACGAATAGGAGAAATAAAAGAAATATTTTCTCCGTGGTTCTTTTTGGTTAGCTTTCGGCCCGTTCAGCACCGATGTGTCTCTTCTTTTCATACAATCATCGCCATTTTACGTGTGTCTTACAATATTCACAATAAAAAGATAGCTTTAATCATTTCTTTTCATTTTATTTATCGATTAATGTATTCAGTTGAGATAATTGACATCTTTAAATCAGATATTGTGCTATCTTCTTAGAGATAGAAAAGAGAAAAATAAACGTTATTCTATCATGGTAGAGAATAAAAAGGAAGATATTATTTCACAATTGTTACTGAGATTAGTTAATAGCGCATCATTGTGATCTTACTGCTGCTACCTCAGGATATTTGCTTCGCTTCTTACAGAAAATACCACACTTGCTCTTGAAAGAGATCATACTAACGTAAAAGATTTAAACGTTGTTATAAAATTAAGTTACAAAACGAAATTGTAAGTAAATGAAAGCATTGTCCTCACCGCTTCAGCGAGCGTGATAAAACAACCCAACATTGAGATGAAAAAAAGTATTGAAAGTACTTTAATTATTCGATTATTATACATGTTTCCCTGCGCATAATTTTACATTCGATACTGACACAGTCGTATCACCTTTTTATACACAATCATCATTCAAAGTCGTAGGGCTATAGATAAATGGAGAAACCATTATACGTGTTTTATGCGCCTATGCCAACATTAAAAACCATTTCTCGTGACTGGCGCGTCACGATTTACTATTTTACGATTTATTATTTCACGAGATGATAAACCTCGGATACAGTGTTACAAAACACATTTATCATTTATCAAATTCCGATTAATTGTATCGGAATTTTGCGAAACGAGAAAATATTTATATTACCGGCAGATACAGCGAATGAGGTTGACATTTTAAAACCGTGCAACGTTGCTATTATTTTCCTAAAATGTGTCTTCAGTTTGAAAGTTGAATGAAAAGTAACAAGTAAAATACAACGGAGTAATATCTCGTGTTTATTTAAAAAGCTATTTTTACTTACTTTTATTTCAGTTATATGAAAACGACAAACGCTCGGGAATATTTCATCTTTCACTGTAGCGAATTTTTGATGCGATGTCAATAGTCAATTTATTGTGTACGTCAATGTTATTATTTATAGAAAGTTATACATTATATTTATTGTTGCGAATTTGTCACAAACACATAAATTCGTGAGTTGATAAATTTTGAATGTGATGTCAGATACAATAATAAATGAGATCATTGCAGAATCGAACACTTCATTTTCTCGCGTATTTTATTTCGTTAATAGGATGCATATGAAACTACAAACGCGAAACAATTGTTTTAAAGTTGAATATTGAAAAAATTCAATATTCAATGCGATAGTCCTTGGATGCTGCAATATTTAAACGATATTAGATATTTAAATGATGTCTTTAATAATAAAATGAACTTTTCGTTTCAAGAATATGTAATTATGCATGTTAAGTTTAATATTAGAAATCGTGAGAAAAATGATTATTCACACAGGAAAGAAAGATGATCTATCTTCAAGTGTTCTCGTATATATAGTTCGCAGAGAAAGTTATTTTTACACTATTGTACGAAATATATTATCGATTAACATGTTCAATTTCTTATAACGTACCTTCTAAAGCACAACCCATACAGTTATGTTTCCCATCACAATTGCATAGCTAATAATCAAATATTCAGTATATAAATTAATTAATATTTTATCATTTATCATTATCATAATTTAGCATTTTCTACTTATCGTGTCAACACTTGCATCTATCGGCCTAACAAAAGCGTTTGACATGAAAGTAAGTCTCGCTAGCTAATTCATATTGCTGCCGGTTCAATTCCCCTGTTATATTAATATTTTGCTGTCCATGTATCTTTTTTTCTGTTGAATCGTCACATATAATGAGATTTACGAATCCTTATTTAATGTGAATTATTAAAACGAACTTTTCTTGATAATTATTGGAAATACAGTGTATGTGAATTTCACGTTGAAAATATATTTTCCCGGATCAGACACACCAGAAAGAGCGGATCAGTGACAAAAGTAACAATTATTGTGAACGAGTGAACAATTGAAATTGTAGATAATTGTTAACAATTTATAACACAAAATTAAGTTCATTAAATTTGCAAGACATAGGATAAATGAAATGTTGCGAATGTTAACACGGATTCGTTATCATTATTCTTTCATCTCGATTCTAACGCAAACGTGTTACGGAAAACAAACATATTAAAAAAAAAAAAAAAAGAATTAATATCGTTACGCGTAAATATGCGTCGCATTGTTGTTCGAGAGCGATACATTGAATAACGCAAAAGCGATCGGAAATATTCGGAAATATTCGGGAGTTAATAATTTTATTTTTATTCATTCTTCGCGATGATTGTTCCTACGTGAAATGGAATAAAGCAGCAGCGCATCAAACAATCAGTTTTAACAAAATTAAATTTAAATTAATTGCCGTATTAATTAATTGCACGTTGCGCTAATTTAGAATAAAAATACTTACGTCGGCGTATCCCTGTAAATTTTATTTATAATCGAATCCGAAGGTATCCCGCTCGTGGATCCTCATATTTCCGTTTCCACTGTTCTTCGATAATGATAATTAATTGCGCGAAGCTCAAAAGACAATAACAGCGGTAGAGCGTTCAACGTCCCACTCTTGATTTCGTTTTGCTTCGTTAATTTAACGATGTGAACGATTGTTTCCTGAAAAGGAAAAAGAAAAAGAAGAAAAATACGTTTTGCGCCTGGACTGCACGATCGCGATATTTCGCTGCAAGCTCGGTCGATAATCATATCGAGCCCTCTTGGAACACGTGTTTACGTAGTTGCGAATACGCGACCATATCGTAAAGTATATAAACGAAAAGTAGCATTGTTTCCTCGTTGAAATAGCAAGAGCCACGTGGAAGTAGCGGCGCTCGGGATCATTTCGCGGATATACGACTTTGGCAACAGCCCGCGCGCCACGGAATGGAAGGAGTCGGGCTTGTTGGGAAAGTTTCACGACTTAAGCCCTATGCTTGGTCTTTCTTCTCGTTCGTGGAACAAGCCGGAGACGGCGTATCTAAGGAAATCCTTAGCCCAGGTATCACAAAGTTATCACAAGACAATGGAGAGCAGATCAGGTAACTTAGCGAGCAGCGCAAAATCGAACTCGAGGGCCGCTTCTGCTAGCGCAGATAAAGTTACCCCCTTAGCCGTTCTTTTCCCTCTTCTCCCCTATTTCTCTCTTCATTTTCCACTTACATCATTCCTCTTCTTATCCTGTCGCTCCTCCTCTCTTTCTGTCTCTCTCGTTCTGTCTCTCTCGTTCTTTCTCTCTCTCTCGCGTCGAAGAACAGTTTCTTTCTGTTTCACTTTCTTATTTTCTTTTTTTTTTTCTTCTTTTTCTCCTTCTTTTTTCTCCTTTTTTTTTTCTTTTACCTCTTCCTTTACCGTGAAATACAACTTTCCCATTTCCTCTGGCGTTCTCACCCGAACGAATAAGAGAATACGTGTTTCAAAGAGAATCTTGGTTTCCACCAGTGATTCTGACAGAATGTGCTGAGGTCTGATATTTTTTCTTCAGCGAAGACTCCTCTCCGATGGGGAAGGGAATTGTATATTACGGCAAAAAGAAAAAGTTCGAGAAGTTGGATACGAAAGGAGAATCGTTTGGACTTGATAGACGAAAGTTTCGATGAACTTTAAACTGCTAGTGATTTTTCCTTTTTTTTTTTCTTCCGTTTGATCAAGATACGTCTCTTGAAGAAAGTCGAACAAACTCGACGGAATTCATTTTATACTTTATTTCTTAATAATGCTTATTTACATCGGGTATATTCGTAATTAGCAAAAGTTTCATCAAGATACTAATCGGCTGTCTGTATATACAATTTGTCTTCATCTCTTTGCGCATACTATCTGGAAAAAAGTATTATTGATTAATAAAATATACGTATATATATTGTCGATTGACATGCTCAAATATTTCTTGGATTTCTGCTAATAATCAGATGTCCAATATATACGCAACTGCTTGAAATTTTAATTAATATTTTGTCAATAATATAACATTTTCTATTTGCGGATTTTATAGTTGCATCTGTCAACGAAAATAGCAGTCAAAGATCAGAAAATCAGAAATGATTGATTGATTGCTATTAGGTGATTAAAGTAACGTATCTTGCAAAGCATGACGTATACTGGCAATTTATTCTGATCCGAACTTAGCCAAATCCATCTGTATTTTTTTCTCATAATCTTTAATATCGAGTATCTTCATAAATTTAGCTTTGTCCAGATACACCGGTGTATCGGTACAAAAACTTCGTTTATGAATGACCCAAATCGGCGAGCGTTTGCGAGAGTTTGACCACAGCACGCAAAATCAAATTCCTACTTTGTTCAGCCGTGTCCAAGTTCTCGTTACATGGTGAAATTTACCATGGTAATAAGGGACAGCGGAAAAATATGTACCGCGATCCTTGGATCTGTGAACCGCTATGAAATCTTCCAGATTTACATAAGGGCCTCATTTGCATGAACTTATTAAATTTTTATCATGAGTAGTAAAACATCGTACGTAGATACGAGGCAAAACTACCAGCAGGTGGACTTAATGTGTTTTAATACAAGCTTCCTTTTTATGAGCGAACTCTCCAGCAGCAGAGAGCGTAAAATTCCTCGCGTCTGTTATATCCCGGCCTTAAATTTGCGTAATGACAACTTCCACTACCCCTTTCTCGTTCGTCTTTCTCTCTCACCCCCCCTCTCTCTCTCTCTCTCCATTTTATTTCTTTTTCCTTACTTTCCAGTCCCACCCTCGTTCCTTTCCTCCTCGTTTCCCAAGTTTTCGTCCACACGGCGCGGGTATACGTCCATCCAGCGTCGTTCGTTATGGTCCCGAGACTTCCAGCTTAAATGCGCATTCACAATGAATTCGACGCAATTCCGATTCGCCACGTCTCCCAGCCCATGCAAATACTCGTTCTTAAACGAGGTGGCAGGAAGGCACTGCATCAAGGATCAACTCCTTTGTCCGCCGGTCGGCTTTAACGTCTCTCTGTAAGAACAATAAAATCGAGTGGCCGTGGGTTTCACTCGCGCGAATTTAAAAGGGTAAATTGAACGCTGGTTAAGCGAAATTTGCATTAAACTAGGAGGGGACGTTTTTTCGTTGACGATGGAAGAAAAAAAATTACTACTCCCGGTACTCTTTTGATCGTCAGAGTGAAACATTCTTAGGAATGAGTGTGTTAGAACGAGTGAAGTGGAACATTTTAGGTTATTTTTATTTCCATAGTTCTATGGCGAAAATTGCAAAAAAGATATGGGAGGAATTAACTGTTCGATACACGGTAATTATTTGTTTCGATAATTACCTGATTTAAATGTTCGATAATTGTTCGATTTAATGTAGAATCCGTTCTCGGTTAATAACAGAGGTTATCGAAGGATGAACATAATGTAATGGAATAATACAAACTCATGTTAATACTTTCGACGAGCAAACGGGCTGTTTGCCAGTTCATGTGTTCTAGCACTTGTAAACGG